ACCGTTGATACAAGAAAGGATGGATCCATGCTTTCATCTGGTTGACTCCAAAATCTGACCCTACCATCCGAATGTTACAGCAGAAATCAAGACTCATCAGACCAGGCAACTTCTTCCGATTTTCTCTTGTCAAATTTTGGCCTCAGTTTCCTGTTTTTTGCTGGCAGGAGTGGTAACCAGTGTGGTCTTCTGCTGTAGCCCATTTGCCTCAAGGTTTGACGTGTTCTGTGTTCAGAGAATCTTGCATAACTTGGTTGTAACACGTGGTTATTTGAGTAACTATGTTGACTTTCTATCAGCTCGAACCAGTCGGGCCATTCTCCTCTGACCTCTGCATCAACAAGGCATTTTCGCCCACAGAACTGCCGCTCACTCGATATTTTCTCTTTTTCAGACCATTTTCTGTAAACCCTAGCGATGGTTGTTCGTGAAAATCCTAGTAGATCAGAAGTTTCTGAAATACACAGACCAGCCTGTCTGGCATCAACAACCCTGCCAGGTTCAAAGTCCCTTATATCAACTTTCTTCCACATTCTGATGCTCGGTTTGAACTGCAGCAGATTGTCTTGACCATGTCTACGTACCTAAATGCATTGAGTTGCTGCCATGTGATTGGCTGATTAGGAATTTGCATTAAAGTGGAGTTGGATAGGTGATAAGTGGCCGGTGAGTGTAATCTTTTAGTTATATAGCACATTTTTTCACACACCAAGGTTACCCAAAGCGCTTTACAATGTTTAGAGTTCAGAGATTGTTCCAATCACTCCGTACACGGTGATGACGGAAACAAGACGCCAAACACACTGCTGCATTAAAGCCCCCAATCAACACCATCCATTCACTCACTCATTACATTCATGCCTTTCAAACCTATTATACATGTTTTAGTGGTAGGGGAAACCAGAGCAAACATACGCAGAAAGGCCCTGTTTTAACCAGCATTTGAACACAGGACCTTCTTGCTGAGAAGCAAGAATGCGATCCACTCAGCTACCATGCTGCCCCAGCCACCCAGACAAGACATATTTTGCCTTGTTTGTGTACATTGTGTCCCCTTTAGTCAAAGGAGTATCAAGTTTGAGATGGGAGCCTATAAACAGAAGTGATGGTGTAACAAAGGTTCCTAATTACCGTAATTTACATGGAGCTAAAAACAACTCCAGGTCTGTTTTAAGATAAGATACAATAAGAGATGCTTTATTCGTCCCACAGTAGGGACATTTCAATGTTGCAGCGCACATACAGGACAGTAGTAAGAGCACACAAAACATACAAAATAAGTAGTAGCTATTTTTCTGAGCTAGCTGTAAATGCAGTCAATACTTCAATACCAGTCTTTCAAAAAATATATATACATATGTAGTGCTGAGTTATATACTATACATATAGACAGGATACTGGGTAGATAAAGTACAGTGACAATGGGCCTCATTCACAAACGTACCTACATTTACGAAGAATGTGGCATTCACGAATATTTCTCGTAATTAATAGTTACCTAATGTAACTTAAGTTCTACGAATAGGTGCGTAGTCCCTTAGGACTTCGCTAGTGGGATATCACGTGACCCCCAGGTCACAGACGCCAGAGAGATCAAAATAATTTGCTCCAATCACCAGCCACCTTCCTCTATAAATGCCCCTGCACAAGGCCGCACCCCCTCTTGAACTCTGCCAAGCCGGGCTGGCCTGATGGGCTCGTAGCTAAGGGACTACGCACCTATTCGTAGAACTTAAGTTACATTAGGTAACTATTAATTCTACGTCATGGTGCTACGTCCCTTAGGACTTCGCTAGTGGGACACAACGCGGAGGCCGTAGGAACATGTACTCCCAGCAGGCCAGCGAAGGGTGATTGGAGCTCCGCCCGAGCAAGACCCTCACACCGTGAGAGGACTCAGGGCAGAAGAAACAAAGCGTGTTACCGGGCCACTCCTCCCAAGGACGCCCCCACGTAACACCAATCGTAGGTCAACCGTAGTCACAGGACGCCTCTCCCAAGAGCTCCTGATGTAGACTACCAGACCGATCAAACACACATATATGTACCGCACCTGTAGGATGCCTCTCCCAAGAGCTCCTGCACCAGGGCGGAAAAATAGACCGAAGGCCCACTCCTCAGGGGAGGGACCCAACGGTCCAACTCAATCCGCTGCACTCAGCACGGAATGGGCCACCGACCGGTCCGACACATCCGAAAGATAAGACCGGACGAAAGAGGAGGACGACGCCCAAGAAGCCGCACGGCAAACGTCCTCGACCGACGCCCCCCTGAGAAGGGCCGTAGAGGCCGCCATCCCACGCGTGGAATGCGACCTGAAACCCACCGGGGGGGCCAGGCCCTGCGCCTGATACGCCCGTCGCACCGCCGTGGCGACCCAATGCGCCAGCCGCTGAGCCGACAGCGGGGCGCCCCTGTTCTTGGGGCCCAGACACACAAACAGCTGATCACCCGACCTGAATGACGACGTCATGGCCAGGTAATGCCTCAGCATTCTGATAGGACACAGAAGGTGCTGCCGCTCCTCCTCGGGGGAGGCATGCGGCGGCGGGTGGAAAGCCCTAATCCTGATCACTCTCGACCTAAAGGCCGACGTGATGACCTTGGGGAGAAAAGCCGGATTGGGCCACAACTCCACCATGCCGTCGTCCTCTCCAAAGGACAGGCACGACGCATGGACTGAGAGCGCACACAAATCGCCCGCCCTTTTTGCAGACGCCAACGCCAGCAAGAGGGCCGTCTTAAAAGCGATACAATCGGGACTCGCCTCCGCCGCCGGTTCAAAAGGCGAACCCGACAGCCCCCTAAGGACCACCCTGAGGTCCCAAACCGGAGGCGTTCTCTGGAGCGGGGGCCTCCTCCTGCGCGCCCCCCGCAGAAAACGTTTAATCAACGGGTGAGAGCGGGCTGTGAACCCCCCGAACCCGTCGTGACCTGAAGTAATGGCTGCCGCAAACACCGCCAAGGTAGCGACAGCCCTCCCCTTGTCGAAAAGCTCCTGTAGGAATCCCAGGACCCCCTCCAGCGGGCAAAACCTGGGATCCCAGGAACGGGAATCGCACCAGGCACTGAATAGCCTCCACCTCGTGGCGTAGGCCCTCACGGTGGACGGCGCCCTCGCTCCCTGAATTGTCTCCACCACCGCAGGGGGAAGACCCAGATCTACGAGGCTCCGCCTCTCAACCTCCAAACCCAGAGCCTGCGGCCGATTATCGGACGTGAAAACAGGGCTCCTGCCCCCTGGACTAGAGCCCCCGGCTCGTCCGGGAGGGCCCAGGGCTCCATCACCGCCATGCCCCTCAGGAAGGGGAACCACCGGGCATGCGGGCTGTCCGGAGCCACCAGAATCACCGACCTCCTCTCCTGTTCGATCCTCCGCAGTAGGACCGGCAGGAGACGCACCGGTGGAAAAGCGTACAACAGGCCGCCTGGCCATGGGTAATGAGCCAGAGCGTCCACGCCTAAAGGCGGCTCGTCCGCGGCCCTTAAGGCGAACCAGGACGGGCACTGTGCGTTCTCTGCACTGGCGAAAAGGTCGACTACTGGACGACCGAACCTCCGCCAGATCTCCGCGGCTACCCGTGGGGCCAGGCCCCACTCGTCCTGGAGTGGGCCCCCCCTGGACATCCTGTCGGCTCCCACGTTCCGGACCCCGGGACGTGGCGCGCCCTGAGAGACAGGAGGTGAAGCGCCGCCCACAGCAGCGTCACCGTCGCCATGCGATGGAGAGCGGGGGACCTGGTGCCCCCCTGCCTGTTCAGATAGGAGACCACTGTGGTGTTGTCTGAGCGCACCATCACGTGTCTCCCCTGCAGCTGAGGGGCAAAGTGCAGCAGTACTCTGTGCACTGCCTCCATCTCCAGCAGGTTGATGTGACGGGCTGAGTCCGACCAGCAGCCTCCTACAGAGCTCTGGCCGAGGACCCCGCCCCATCCTTCGAGCGACGCGTCCGTGAACACCTCGGCGTGAGACACAGCGCAGGCCAGAGTCACTCCGTCCCGCAGTAGACCCGGAGTGAGCCAGAACCTGATGTCCGATGCTGCCCCTTGGGGAACCCAGATCAGCCTCCCCCCGTCCCGGGAGGGGTGAAGCCTGAGGCGCGAGAACCACCTCTGAAAATTTCTCATGTGGAGCAGGCCTAGCCGCACCACAGCATGAGCCGCTGCCATCATCCCCAGCAGGGACCTGAGGCGCCGAGCGGGAACTCTGGGGCCCGCCAGAACCTCCCGGGCCAGACGGGTAATATTCGTCCGTCTGTCCACGGACAATGCAGCACGGAATATCACAGAGTCTAGCTGCAGACCGAGGTAAATCATGCGTTGGGCTGGCTGCAGCTTGCTCTTCTCCCTGTTCACCACAAAGCCCAGACGCTGTATGTGGGACAAGACCCATTGCGTGTGGCTCACGGCCACTTCCCTGGATGGGGCCAGTATTAACCAATCGTCTATATAGGTCAATATTCTTACCCCGGCACGTCTGATCGGCTCCAGAGCCGCTTCCACACATTTGGAAAAAGTGCGAGGCGCGAGAGCGTACCCGAAAGGGAGACGGCAGTACTCGTAATTCCTCTCTCCCACTGCGAAGCGCAGAAATCTCCTGTGTTCTGGCACTATGGGTACGTGGAAGTATGCGTCTGTCAGGTCTATGGATGTCATCCAGTCTCCTTCCCTGACACACTCGAGGAGCTGCCTTGTGGACAGCATCCGAAACTGCCGTTTGGAAATGCACTCGTTTAACACGCGCAGATCCAGAATGGGACGCACCCCGCCTGATTTCTTTGGCACCAGAAAGTAAGGGGAGTACAGCCCCCTGGTGGCGTCCTGCGGGTCTACCTCCACTGCTGCGCCTCGACTCAGCAGGGAGGAGACCTCTGCTTCCAGTGCCTCTGTCGATCCCCGTACCTGAGAGCGTACTGCCCGTACGCCTCGGAATGGTGGTGGCTTTCGGAAAAATTGCAGAGCGTAACCTCTGCGCAGAGTTTTCTCCAGCCAAACATCTGACAGTAAGCCCTGCTCCTTCCAGATGTCGTAGAAATCTGTGAGGGGCGGAACGGGAGCTGGAACACGAGACGTCATGGCCCCGCCCCCTCCTGGTGTTCCTAGCAGGGAGGGGGGGTGGCTGAAAGGGCCGGGGGGGCCCCTGCGTCACACCGTGAGCGCCGAGGGCGGTCACGTGTTCTGCAGGTCCGACGTCATAAGTACGGGACTGCTCACCACACGTGACCCGGCTGCTGCTGCGCCCCCCCCTGGCTCTTGCCTCATGGAGGGGGGGGCGAGCCCCTGCATCGGGAAACCCCGTGTTAGCATTGTAGCTCTGCTCATCACGCGTGACACGGCTGCTGCGCCCCCCCTTGGCTCTTGCCTCATGGAGGGGGGGAAGAGCCCCTGGATTAGGAAACCCCGTGTTAGCAATGTAGCTCTGCTCATCACGCGTGACACGGCTGCTGCGCCCCCCCTTGGCTCTTGCCTCATGGAGGGGGGGGAGAGCCCCTGGATTGGGAAACCCCCGTGTTAGCCTTGTAGCTCAGAGATGCTAACACGCTAGCGCCCGGAGCACACACATTAGCACTTATCAGATCCCTCCGCCTGCCCTCTCTCCGGGAGGGCAAAACATGAACCCGTGAATCGGAGCTCGTGGTCTGCACAGCGCGCTGCACGCCCTTCTCTGGGGGCTGCAGGCCTGGCGGAGCCACGTTATATGCTCGAGAAGTAACACAAACAGAATTCAAATCATTTGACATGTTACATACCCCCAAATGAGACTCAGACAGCGAGTACTGGTGAAATGCCGGACGGCCTTTATTGAAAGAGTTTTTACCACCCCGACCTCCTCTACCGTAGGGAGGCCGTCGATGGGTGTTTGGTCCCGCGAACCTCCCGTGTGCCTGTCCGGGGGTCTCGCCGTGGGGAACGATGGACCACGTCGAGCGTGGATGTTGGTCCGGGGCGCTTGCCAGGCGAGCGCTCCCTGCCTCTGTCTCGGCCTGCGCTCTGGGCCCGCGTCTCGTAGCTAGGTGTTTTGCTAGCCTCGCTGAGGTTCACCGCCCCCAGCCAGAGGTGTCTGGCCCCGACCTGGGCTGCTGCCATAGAGCGGCCGCCATCGACAGCTAGCGCTAGGCACATGCGCAAGTATCGCTGCTGAAGTGGTCCTCGCCTGGGCTAAGGTGTCTCCACTGAGTGCCTGGTCAGAGGAGAGAGACCTATCCAGGGCCCCGGTGATGAAAGCCATGTGTTCGCCACCGCGACGACGATGCTGATGCCGCATTGGCGTAACATCTGTTCATGCATAGCCAGAGACATCCTATCCCGCTCGGAGGGAAGGAGAGGTCTGGTGCTGGGCCACACGGATGAGGAGGGGTGCAGGGCCCCCCGCCCGAACCGAGTCCTCGATGTCCGGGACCCCGCCTGTCCAGGACCAGTCCTGCACGTTGCAGTACATGCCATACCCCAAAGCGGGCCTCTTGGCCGAGCTAGGGGTTTTGGCCACTCACGTGTCGCGTAATGGACGATCGGGTCCATAGCCGGGCACAACGTGGGCTGGGCTCTCCTCCTCCCTCGAGGGGCTGCGTACCCAGAGGTGAAGTCCTCCACCCTCTGGTTCGGTTGCGGTGGCAGGGGGGCATCCATGATGGCCGCCGCCGTGGCGTAGAGCCCAGGCATGTGGTCCAGCGGGAAGCGGTCCGGCTCCGGGTTGGACACCACCTCGTCCAGCGTGAGGAGAGAGCCGACCTCCGACACCTCTCCGTCCTCGCAGTCACCCCACTCCGCGGGCACAGGTGGAATGTCGAGGGGGGCCCAGTCAATCTCAGACTCCTCGTCCTTAGAGGAGTCCGGACGGGGCGCTGAAGCGGCGAAGAACGCGCGCCTGCGTTCACTCTCCTCCCTGGGGAGAGCGACACACGAGGCGCAGGTGGCGCTCAACGCCGCATGGCCCGCACCCAGGCACATGAAGCAGCTGGAGTGCTGGTCCTTGCGTTGGAGCTTGCCCCGACAGGTCGAGCAACGACGACGTCCGACGCCGGATGGCGAAGGGGAACACGGGTCACAGCATATAGCGATAGCGGTCACAGAATAGAGTAGTCGACGACGTCTGTCCCCTCCAAACCAGGCTTCGAAAACTCCATCAACACGCAGCCTTTTTGGGGATTGTGCGCGCTCATCGCAGGAGCCTTTCCGATCCGAAGGCCGCACCGGGACCTAGGGCGCCAAACCTCCTTTCAATAAAATACTCAAAACTTCCTGTTTCTCGTCTCTCCAAATTGAAATGCAGCCAGCGAAAATTCAATTTGGTAGACGTTAACCAAAATTACCCCCTCCAGGCCGGCTCTCATCCCCAGCCTATCGCTCAGCAGACGCCCCCTTCCAATCATCTGTACCGACTCGCCAGCCGCATAAAAACGGAGAAACTCCCACTACCGGCCTCCTGAAGCCTCGCAACCACCGCCTCCCCTCCTCCTCCTCTTCACCCTGCCTCCAATCTGCCTTCAATTTTCTTCCCGCTGCCAAATGCCGCCACCAGTGCCTAGGTCCCGGGGGATTGTGCGCGCTCATCGCAGGAGCCTTTCCGATCCAAAGGCCGCACCGGGACCTAGGGCGCCAAACCTCCTTTCAATAAAATACTCAAAACTTCCTGTTTCTCGTCTCTCCAAATTGAATTGAAAAAATTGACTTCCTTGACATTTTACTTTACAGAGACACTGATAAACTGAGATATATTCTTTACAGAAATAGCACTGAGAGAAATTATATTTTACATGGTAAATTGTTCCACCGGTATCACTGAAAGAGCCTATTTCACAGTTCAATTGCATGAGACACATTTGTAGCACAGACTCAAGCCAATGAACTACAAGCCAATGAAATGGAGAAATGTTTCAGAAAAAGACAAGACTGGATATCAAAACGCAGATTTGATGGCATTTCACAAGAACCATGGGCCTCATTCACGAACCGTTCTTAGGAACAAAATTGTACGTAAATTCTACTTACGAGGAATTTACAAAGAATGTGGCATTCATGAATTTTTCTCGTATCCAGAATTTCTCTTTCTTAAGAACAAATCCTACGAGTGCTCAGGAGCACTCTTGAGCACATTCAGTGGTGACATGTTCGCACACTGGTGTTGTCTTCTTTTGTGAAGTTCAATAAAACACAACATTACGCGCTGGTCTCTCCCATTGATCTAATATGGTTCCACGCTGGTCTCTCCAGTCTATGGTCTCTCCAGTTTACGGTCTCTCCTCGATCCGCGCTGGTCTCTCCTCGGGTCTGCATTTGTCTCAGTGCTGGTCCGCGCTGGATCTCCTCCCAGAGTTCAAAATATTTTGAGATTAATCTCATAACATTTTGAGATTAATCTCATAACATTTAGAGATTAATCTCATAACATTTTGAGATTAATCTCATAACATTTTGAGATTAATCTCATAACATTTTGAGATTAATATTTAAATTAATACAATGTTTTTTAAATTAAACACATAATTTTTTTAATTAATCTCATAACATTTTGAGATTTAATCTCTAATTTTTTTTAGATTTAATCTCTAAATGTTTTTAGATTTAATCTCTAAATTTTTGGAGAATAATCTCATAATCTTGCTAGTTCGACTTTTTTCTCATAATATTTCGACATTAAAGTCAAAATTTTACGACTTTATTCTCAGTCTGGCAAAAGAAGAAAGGGTGACTCTTTGGCTGTCGTAAACGCTTTGCTTTAGGCATGTTGCTGTTTCCTTTGACGTCTGCACACGGCCTTGCAGTCCCTTTTATGGGCATTAATGGGCAATTACCTATGCTAATGACTCACCTGGCATGCGCGCTCTACTCACGAGGAGTTGGCATTCATCAGTCTAAGAGAACAGCTACGAACAATTCAGTGGCTTACGAGCGCGTTGATGAATCCAATGTAGGGTCTTCTTAGAAATCTACTCAAGAACGAAGTGCATCAAAGCGGAAGTGCTTTGATGCTAACAGAGTTAAGATTGCGGGTTTTTGTGTAAAGTTCTCCAAGAATGCAGCTCTGCAGCATCTCTGTGCGCAGAGACCATCCAGAGACTTTATGTAACAGCAGTACAGTATGTGTTCACGGAGGGGCGCCATAGGTTTATTTTAATATTAGACGGTACTTCCGCATCGGAAAACATGCTAGCTGCGCCCGTTTACAGTCA